ACCACGACCACGACCACGACCACGACCACTGCCATTACCGCTGCTGCTACGACTACTACTACGACTACTATGACGCTGAACCGATCGTGGTGGTGGTGGTGGTGGTCTCAAGTCAACACCCGAACTTCTTCTGTCATTTTTTGGACCGCCCCGCAAAGACGAAACATCTGAAACATATTCCCCCGCAGACATAAAGCAATCTACAAATCGGACCACGGGTTTGGGCTAGCCATGGGCGGCATCAGGCATTGCGCATGGTTATCATAAAGTCTTGGACCAGCAAACCAGGCCAGACCCGGACTTGCCATGCGGCGTAATACAGATTCCTTCCTCAACCGCACACCGACACTCCAGTTCTTGACTTGCGTCTGGAGAGTGTTGCTTGTCCATGTTCATGTGGCTTCCCATTGCTTTATGTCGCAGGCAATCCGACATTTCACGTGAAACAATACTACTGCAAAAGGCATAGCATATGATGGGGTATTTTTGGAGATTTAGCATGTCACAGCCGTCAAGTGACATAGCGATGTGCACGGCTTTATGTCTGCATCGGCAGCATAAAAGCTACACACTGCTACACTGCCACACCCTGGCAGAGCAGTCTCTCTGACATGCAGATTAACACAGTTTTGAGCGCACAGTGACCGCGCACAGCACCATTTATGAATAGCACAGCTATGGTATGTTCGCTTGCATTACACATGTTGCTACATGCAATAATGCTGTCTTTCGTCATGGCAATTTATTTGCATATGCTTATGCTTCTCGTTGCAGTAATGCTATGCGCCATACAGCAACAATCCGTGCACATATTATTCATAGACCATGCTACTTTTCTGTTACTTAACGATGCCATGTCCATCGCAGTCGTCTCGCGCTGCACTGCAGCTACCTGGGATGTGCTTGCTGCGTTATGACCTCATGAAATACCCGCTTGAAACAGACTGTAACAGACTTATATCAAATAATTCCATGCCCCGAAGCCTGTCCTACATTAAGTTTTTTCGTGTTGCAACTATCGAAGCCTCGCGGCATTGCTGTTGTTACCGCTGCTGATGCTGCTACCACGACGACTACGACTTCAGCTACTGCTAGTAGTATCGCTACTGTTGCTGCGAGTACAACGAGAACGTATTTGAGCCTCCCAAGACGGAAAGATGGTTCTCACCACAAGCACCCGCACCATTCTGATCATCATCATCACCATCGTCATCATCATATTTCCATCTTCATTCTCTTCTGCATCTTCGTGCCCATCTCTCGTCCTTTTACTCATCCCCATGGTCCTCCTGGATGTCACATCGTCAACATCATCACCCCTAGACCTTAAGCTGTACAACATGACTCAGAGACCCACCCAAAGCCGACAATTCCCCATAGAACGTTACAAAGCCTGCTTAAATTCTGTTTGTCGGGAAGATTCGGAAGCGTAGCAAGGACGCTGTTATCGTGTCATTCTCACGGTGCGGTGACCATCATCATTACCGGTATTATAAATGTTGGCGTTAAAGTGTTAGCATTATAAACCCCAGACCTTAAACCTGAAGAAGCTGAAGAAGATTCTGGATCGAGGCCACGGTCTCCTGTTGGCAACAAGGCGTGAACCTGGTGACTTGGCTTCCCGGTTTTTGTTGTCTTTTGAGGGGAGAAAGAGGCTTCCAGGGCTCTTTCCGGATTCGAGCACGGGTTTTGAGGGGCATGTTAGCTTTTTTTTTAAAGGGTTCGGGGTTGCGGGGTGTTTGGGCATATTCGAGTCGTTGTCGGGGTTTTGGGTTTTGGGTAGGCGTGTGGGTGTTAGTCCTCACACACCACAAACCCAATTTCCGCACATTTTTGGTTTGTTTTGCTATGGCACTGTGAATGATTGTCGAGCGTTGGTTTTGACAGTTTTGAGGCTTTGTTGGAATCCAGGATTCCCCCTTCGCGAGTTTTTGTAGCAAGCTCCAGGCTATTTAATTCTGATTCTCAGGTTGATATTTGGCGTCTTTGGTTAAGACTCTCTCTTGGGTCCGGAGTGCTCGGTGCCATGCATGTACCCTTTTTTAGCAGCAGGCTCCATGACAATCAAGTTCGGATGCGCTGCAAGTTGCAGCTACAAGACTTGTGTACAGGTCCTCCAGCCGCATCCACAGGCCTCAAAGCGTAGCCGCATCGCAGAGAAAAGATCAGGTGGCACGAGCACTTGGTTCTGGTGAGCGCCCTTCAGAGATTACGTACTTCGGCGGAGCATGGCTTAGGTTCTTGGAGAGTGTAGACCCTGCCTTGATTTGTAAAGCCCACCTCCGTGAAGAAAGCCTTTGATACGCAACCGGAATAGGAAGAGTATGCCTCTGGAATGGAGCTGGTAGATCAGCGACCTGCATTCGAGGGGGTTTGTAATCCAAGGGCAGAGGCGGCCTGGGGTGAATTATAAGGACTAGGGGATTAGGGTTTAGGGCTGAGGGCGTCGGGTTTGGCATTGTTCGCTGCTTTGGAACTGAGTGGGGCTCTACTAGTGGGCTCTGTAAGGACTACATAGGGGTTGGTCAGGGCGGTGGGACTTCAGAGCCTTAAGCTTGGGCTACCCTAAACGCTCGAAGCCGACATCCTGCCTTTGTCGGGCATTCAAGGTCCGGGTCAAATCCCGGCCTCCAGCCTTTAACGCAGAAAATGCTGTCTGACAGCCAAGCCTCCTAAGCTCCCAAGCAGTAGCCCAAAATAAACCATAGGCGCCGCATATGAGTATGTCAGTCGCAAGAGCCTCTCAGGGTTCGGGTTGCTCACCTGGAGATGATCGACTATTTCTTGCTAAGGATCCTTCAAGCAGAAGAGGGTCCATACAATCCCAGGCTTTCCGAGCCTCATTCCATACTGCCAGTACTTGGGGGTCAAGCTGAGATTACGCCGTAGGACATGTAAGGTGGAACACCCTCGCGGCAGCTTGTGCGCAAGCATCACAGTGGCAGCTTTGCTGCTGGCTTTACTTCAGGCACCCATGGTTGGTTTCGGGACCTAATCTCGGAACGCTATATAAGCCCTCAACTAAAAACCGGGGTCTTATGGTCTGATGTTTTGGGGTTTTGATGGGTTTAGGGGGCCCTTTCAGGCCTAAGGCCTGAAAACTCTAAAACCGCCAACCCTACTACTCCCGAGAAGCCCATGGACCTGGCGTGTGGATACGCCGGCGGCAAGCTGTGTGTTGTCACGCAGCTGCCGTATGTCCTGCGTAGGAGGATGGTTTCAGGTAGATCTAAGAGGACTTGTCTACAAGCTATCGTGCGATTCAAGGTGTTCCATAGCCGGGAGTGTTGAAGACTCTTGGCGTGCCCCTGCGGCTTTGAGCTGCGGTTCAGGTTTTTTGAAGGAATTCGTAAACATGATTTTGGAGGCCTTCGGGTTCGGCACGGTGTCCTTTACGACTACACTGCGTTTCCGGGTATCTTAGCGGGATTTCTGAGGCTCAAGCATCGAACTCGTAGTCACCTAGTCGAGAACCCGGAACCTTACACCCTGAACAATAACCAGCCCGCAAGGTCAAGAGAATGAATCCCACGGAATGACGACTTTGACGGCAAACCGTAAACACTAAGCAACAGTAGAAATGCACTGTCGGAAATCACCCCGAATGTCATGAGGGGGTCTGAAGAGTCGTGGGAATTGGCTCAAGTTTTCGGCTCAGACCCTGCTTTTAGAGGTGGGTTGCTGCCGCTAGTGAGTGCTGTAACAGCCTTGGGATCCCTGGAACGCTTTCTCGACAAGGCCCCAGGCTCTCCGAATCCCAAGCTTCTCGTACCGTGCCATAGCAGCTGCAGCCAGCCCTCTGACTTGGTTCATCCAGTCAATGGCGAAAGGCAAGGGTAACTGGACCCGGCCGTACCACGTCTGCAAAGGGAAAGGGTGCAATAACTGGTGCTGGGCTTCGCAGGTCCCGTCCCAACCCCTGTGCAGTGTGTGCGGAAAGAAGTGGCCTGGGGTGCCGCCGCCACCCAGCCCTCGGCCGCCCAGGCAGCAGCAGTCGAGAAGTCTCGAAAGGCCAAGCAGAGCCAAAAGTGAGGATGCCCCGCACAAAGGGTTCCTCAAGGTTCTCAAGGAGAAATGGGGGGACCTTGGACCAGCAGCGCAGGAGGCCCTGCAGGCTGTTGGGTTCAAGCCCAAGCCGCCCCCGCCTGTCGAGGATTCTCTGCTGAGTAGGCTCATGGGTCGCAAGGGGGATCTCCCTGAAGACATCCAGGC